GCAAATGTTTTGAGAATGATGAGGGAAATGATGTACAAATGTGCTTTACACAATTGATGTGTGTATGGATTGTGAGGAGAATTGTATGAGCCCCTAATAAAACGATTAAAAAAAAAAGACTTGAAAGAGGCCTTCATTGCAGATATACCCAATATGATATGTCATTAGATTTCTTGACTGGGGCCTCTATGAGCCAGGAACACTGGTGGTGTAGTGGATTGGGCAATTGGACTCTTAACCACAAGGTCAGCAGTTGAAACCACCTGTCACTCCATAGGAGGAAGATGAGGTTTTCTACTTCTTTAAAAATATAGTCTCTGAAATCCACAGGGAAGTTCTATTCTGTCCAGGGTCACTATGAGTTGGAATTGACTCGATGGCAATGAGTTTGGTTTGGCTTTGACTTCTATGTGTGTTGACTTTGACTCTAAGTAATATCAAGTACTTGATTACTTCAATTTTTCCTTAATTTATACTGATGCTATCTATTGTCCTAGTTGACCCTAGTGATTCTAAAAAAAAAAAAAGCTATTTTAAAATCACAGTGGATTTTTTTTCAAGATTAATATATTTTTTCAAAATGTTGCATTGAAATATTATGTCTCTTGATTTCTGTTCTTTTTGGTGCCTCCTTAAATTGTACATTGTAAGGGAGTGCATTACCTGACCCCAGTCCAGTTTTGGAATTAAGTGACATTTACTGAATTAAGGATGTGTCTTAGTTTTACATGAGTTCATTTTATAAATGGATATTATATTGAATAAAAAGATGTTTTGGCTTCTCTTGAAAAAAAATAAAGCTCTTTCCTATACATATATGAATGTCCCTGAATTTGTTTCTCTAGTCAGCCCGTTCTAACACACAAGCCTTTCTCAGAGGCTTATTCAAATTACTTCAGTAAAAATTTATCATTGTTTCCAAGGGCATGATACAATGGCAAGTATCAGAGCCCTAAGTTCAAGCCAGCTACTTGTGAACCCATTTGCACTTACGGGCAAGTTATTTTATGCAAAATGAAGATAGACCAGATGATCTCTTCTTTCAAGATAGTCACTGACTGTTTCTTAATTAGGCCATTCAATAAAGAGAAGAAAACTCTCTCCTTAAAATATCAGAAGCCCCTGGACTAGATTTTCATAGTGACACACTGACTTTAATTTTGAGCCAGGGGTATGCTAACTTCTTGAAATATTGCTCAAATATCACAAACTTTGATTCACATCTTTTTCTTTCTTTCCCAGGGAAACGAAGAAAGAGCTCCAGAGGTGGGTATCTCTCCTAGCCTCAGCATGAATGGACATTTAGCATCATGGATAGGAGTTCCATTTACAATGAGAAATCTCTGAACAGAATCTTCATCCTCACTAGGTGTAAAACCACCACTAGGAGGACCCACAGTCATTCCAGCCGTTGTAGTCTTCACTGTGCCTAGCAAGAGCCCAGGCTTCCCGTCCATCCCACTTCCTGTCAATCTAGGACACCATCTTAATTCTACAATCATTTTCCAATTCCTTGTCCTTGCTTTGGACCAGGGACTTGAGGAAGGAAGGTGGAATGATGTAGATGCTCTTGGTCAACTCTGCTCCTCATCCTGAAAGTGACCGACTTATGTAGCATTCTTACTCTCTGAGCCATGTTACAATTCAGCAGTGAATTTATTCTATTACTGGTCAAGCTCCATCTCATATCTGGACTTCAATTTCCTTATCCATAAAGAAAAGAATGTGGACCAGATAGCGCCTAAGGAAGGAGCTCTAGTGATGTAGTGGGTTATGCATTGAGTTGATAACCTCAAGGCTGGCAATTCAAACCCACCAGCTGCTCTGAGGGAGAAAGATGAGGCTTTCTGTCCTGTAAAGATTTACAGCCTCAGAAACTCCCAGGGGGCAGTTCTACCCTGCTCTATAGGGTTGCTATGAGTCAGAATAAACTCAATCACAGTGAGTTGGGTTTTGAGTTTGGGTTCCTAAGGGATCTTTAGCTCAACTATTTAATGGTCTATGAAACTATTTTTTTCAAAGCATTGTAAGAAGATAGTAAGCAGAGAACTCAGATAAATGAGGCTATTTGCAGATGAAAAATACAAGGGAAACTTTAGAGCAGTGGTTCTCAGCCTGTGGGTCGTGACCCCTTTAGGGAGGGTGGAACAACCCTTTCACAGGGGTCATTCGATTCATAACAGTAGAAAAATTATAGTTATGAAGTAGCAACGAAAGTAATTTTATTGTTGGGAGGGTCACCACAACATAAGGAACTGTATTAAAGGGTCGTGGCATTAGGAAGGTTGAGAACCACTTCTTTAGAGCATAGATTGTTTCTAAGTTCAATAACTAAGAATTAGGAGGATTTTTTAAAGGCCCAACTATGATGCAGAAGAAGAAACGTGTTCCAAATCAAGGACTCGTCTTTATTAAAAAATAGATACTAAAATGTACAGGTAGAAAAATGTAGGGCATAGTAGTGACTTGACCAGAGGCACTGACGTGTGGAATGCATGACAGAATAGTGTAAGGAAGAACATTAGGGAGATAATTTGAGATCAAACTATGGAGTCAGTTGATCAGTTACTAGGTCAGATTATGTCAGTCAGAAAGGTCTGAGTCATTATTGAGTATAAGGAAGTTAATTAATTAGATCAATACAGTGGAGCTTTACTGTAGTAGATCAATAATGCCATTTATGAGGCAGGTTGGATGAGAAGAATATTTCAAGAGAAAATAAATAGAGGCTTAAATAAAAGCAAAGCTAAGAGAATGAAGTGGAGGAAAAAGAAACAAAAAGAATGAAAACTTGGTAGTCGATTTGATTACTAACAGAGATAAAAAAACCTACAGCCTTTATTATCAATTACAACTCAATGCAAAAACAAGACAAAAAACCCTCCATTCTGGACCACTAGATAACATCATGATAAACATAGAAATGACTGACATTTTCAAGGATTTCACAGATGCAGAATCAATGCCCAAAGAAGAAACAGGCAAGAAGTCAAACAATATGTTTCATTGGGCAAAAGACCTCTGTAAAATGTTACAGAGCAAAGCTGTCGCTTTGAGGAATGGGGCAAGCCCCATATGCATACCACCGGTGGACAGTGTGTAAGGAAGACCGGAGAAGGATAAATGCATCTGAATCCCGGCGCTGGTGACGACTATTGGATCAGTGCGCATGGAGGCAGCAGTCAAGAACCCCAAGGATGCACTGCATTCAGTAGACCTGCTGCACAAGAACTCTGTAACGCGTTGAAGAGCAAGGATGCCACTTTGAGGACTAAGTGTGCCTGACCCGAGCCAGGGTCTTTTCAATTACTTCATATGAAAGTGGGACAATGAATAAGGTAGACCGAAGAAGAACTGATGCATTTGAACCATGGCACTGGAGAAGAATGTTGAAAGTACCATGGATTGCCAAAAGAACAAAGAAATCTGTTTGGGGAAAGTACAGCCAGAATGTTCCTTAGAAGCAAGGATGGTGAGAGTTCACCTCACGTACTTTGGACATGTTATCAGGAGAGAGCAGTCCCCGGAGAAGGACGTCACGCTTGGTCAAGTGAAAAAGAGGAAGGAGCTCAACAAGGTGGACACAGTGGCAACAACAGGACAACAATGATGAGAATGGGGCAGGATGGGGCTTGAGTCAGGATTGACTCCACGGCACCTACGCACAACTGGTCAATGTGACGAAGAACCATGGAAGAGAAGGGGGAGTCGCGGAAGATACCAAAGTTTCAAGACTGACGGTGCAGAAAGGCACATAAATGTCATGAAATCAGAAGTGGAATCAATTTTCCCAGAACCAGAAGAATTCCACTGGGGGTATGCCAAGTTTTAAGAATGCGTTTGTAAAGAGGCATTTGTAAAATCAGGTGTGATGTTCAGAAAGATTGAGATAAAAGTTAAACAGGGGCCATCGATATGCCTGGTCAGAGGGCTCATGTATAAAGGAAAGACAAGGACTCCAAATGGTATTTGAGGGACACCTGTATTTACAACCACCACTGGTCTGTCAGTCTGTTGTATTGTGGTGGCTCATATGTTGCTGAGACGCTATGTCACTGGTATTTCAAATGGCAGCAGGGTCACCCAAAGTGAAGTATTTTTCAGATGGATTCATAGGGTCAGAAAAAGAAAACTTCGGAGAAGAAACTGTTCTCAAGAGAACGCATAATCTACAACATAAGACAAAAGCAAGTCTTCAAAGAAGAAGTGACTTTGTGAAGAAAGGTAGACTGTATCAATATCAGTGAGGCCAAAAAGGAGACGAACCAGAAGGTCATAATGTCCACAGATTCTGGAAGGAGGGAGCTATTCCAGCTAGCCATCAGTGTTGGCACTGACTTTCTATGGCTTTCCTACCCAGCCTTATGCAGCATGCAGGATGGTGTGGTCAGCGGATCTGAGGGGAAACTGTCCTTCCCAGAAAGCCCCCACCTATATTATGAGAGCAACCAGTGAGTAGTCCCCCTCTACCTCCTCCTCCTCTGCCCACCTCCAGTCTGCCTGTGCCCCTTACAGGTCTGTGATAGCCAGCCTCTGGCTGGAAATAACACCCTCTCAATGTGTCCACTTGCAGACTGTGTGTCTGGACCCTGTTAGTACCAACGGAAATGCACGTGTGGCTCCGCTTTTCCCACTTGGATGCAGAGTCTTGCCAACACAATTACTTGTCAATATATTCTTTAGGAGACAGGCTTATTGGTGAGTGAATTTTCAAATAGCTAACTGAAACTAATGTACGGGAGGCTTAGCGGGGCCTTGTTACGACATGCCTGGCATGGACGCATTCTTGTCCCTAACTTGAGACTCCGAATAGGGAATGTTAGCTCTGTGTGATACCTACAAGGCCACAGGCCATTTTACTTGTTGTGCCTTCAAACCAGTCTTTCTGGACCCACTTGTTAGGCCTGCGGTCTATCCGGAATAAAATCTAGACAAACCCGGATTGTAGGATCTCTCAATCCAGACAGTGCTTTTCTTCTTACTTTTACTTACTTCACCAAGTGACAGAGACAAATACTCACAGACTATCATGAGGAGACAGGGGGACCCTTGAAAGTGAAGTGGATTGAAGTTTCTGTGATTCTCACCTGGGGCCAGATTTTGCCCACAGAAAATATTTGGTAATGTTTTGGAAGCATTTGGGGTGATCTCTAGTATCTAGTGGATGGAGCCCAGGAATGCCACGAACCCTCCAAGAGCTCACAAGGTGGCCTCAACCCCAAACGAGTTTTAGTTAAAATGTTAATGCTGTTGAGACTGAGAAACTATGGCTTGCATAATCCTGAAGGACAATGTCAAATTCCTTTCTTAAACCTTTTGATGGGTCCTGCTGCCAATAGGCTGAAATAACCTTCCTTTTCTTGCTTCAGGGAAATTCTGTGGAGAAGACCTCTTTTCATGCGTTCGCATTGGCTCTAACTCTATAAGACTGAAGTTCATCTCTGATGGCACAGATTATGCTACTGGGTTTAATCTCACCTACGAAGCTTTGAAACCACACTATCTTCCTGGTAAAATCACTTATCTTTACCACATAACCTTCAGGGTCCACAGGAATTATGTGAAGGGTCAGGGGCACCACCTCAAGGCCTGCTGGGCTCTATAATGGAGGCGAGAGAAGCAGACTCAGGCTCCTTGTGCCCGCAGCAGAATTCAGAGGGCCTGATGGGTCTGGATTATCAGTGCACAAACCGCTTCCTTCAGACTGCGTGTGTGAGAGTAATTTCGGGCAGCATTTGTGGGAGACGGAGAAAGAAGGAAAAGACATCCTTTCTGCTGGGGTAACGAGCGCCATTTGTTTGGGTGCTTTTCCTTGTGTTTCAGACTCGGGCTGTGGCTCCTTAGTTGTCCTTTTTGAAGAAGGCCTCATTCAGAGTCTTCACTATCCTGGAAACTACAGTAACAGGGCTAACTGTAACTGGATTTTTCAAGCCCCCAAACATCATCAAATTAAGGTACAAAGTTTCCCTTACTTTCCTATGTTATCTCCAAAGAATAGTTAACATAAACAACAGGTCAGGAGTTTCTACCTGACTTGTTCACCGCTATGTCCCAAATAGCACACACAATTCATCAAAAGTATTGCTAACAAGTCAATTCCAACTCAGCAAATGCTTGCTGAATAATCGGTTTTTCCTCTGCAATTACCTATTTTCACCACTAGGTGACACTGGCGCTCTTTAATTTGTTAAATCCTGTCCTAATCTCTGTGGCTGGTGATTCCTTTTATCAATCCCTAGTTAAGGGTTCATAAAGGGGGGCGGGGGGTACGGAAGGGGGAGGGGATGAGGAGCTGATATCAAGGGTTCAAGTAGAAAGCAAATGTTTTGAATGATGAGGGCAACAAATTTACAAATGTGCTTGACACAATGTATGCATATATGGATTGTGATAAGAGTTGTAAGAGCCCCCAATAAAATGATTTTTTTTAAAGAGCTTTGATAGAGACCCTATAGGACAGGGCAGAACTGCCACTGTGGGTTTCTGAAACGATAACTGTTTATGGGAGTAGAAAGCTCCATCTTCTCCCTCAGAGAGGCTGGTGGTTTCAAACTGCTGACCTTAGTGGCCTTGGGCTACTAACCATTATGCCACTGAAATGGGCTCTGTGGGAATGGGTTTGAGAGTTGAGAGCTTTAGAAACCTTCATAGTATACTGTTATGTATAGGGCTGCTAAATTCAAGGTCAACGGTTAAACCCCCCCCAGCTGCTTCTTGGGAAAAAGACATGGCTTTCTACTCTCCTAAAGAGTTAAAGTCACAGTTCTACCCTGTCCTATAGGTCACTACGAGTCAGCACTTTCTCAGTGGCAACAAGTTTGGATTTTTTTTTTTTTTTTTAGTCCATTCTAGAAACAAGCACTTTCTTCTCTTAAAAAAGGATTTCTTTTTAGGTGTGGTTTGAGTGAAGATGTACAGAGAAATTGGTTTTCTACTCAGTACTTCATACACATTATGCTTTGTGACATAATTCCCACAGTGTAACCACCCTTTTCCTCGTTTGCCCCACACTTCCTTCCACCCCCTTCCTGCTTTCTGACCTCTATCCCTAGGCAAATGCTGCCCTTTAAATCTCCACAGATTGATGCTTCCACGGAGTGCCTCCTTGTTGGTGTTCTCATTCTGCAGCCAGGTGGAGGGTCTGGTTCAGTTCCAAGCCTGAATATTATTTCAATAGTATTTCAAGAGAAACAATTATATGTCTAATTTCTACCTCGTCCTGTTTTACCGTCTGGTGACATCTCTGCAAGTGACCTGCTAAACTAAAAAAACCAAACCCATGGCCGTGGCATTGATTCGACCCACAGTGAGCCTCCACGACAGAGTGGGGTCTTAAAGGCTGTGGTCAGTACAGTTCTGCCAAATTCAGTTAGACCCGTAAACTTGGTGTTGTTCATGAGTTTGCATTTTGTTACACACACACACACACACACACACACACACACACACTCCATCTAGGACCTCCTATTGCAGTCTCTTTCAGAGAAAAATAAGCATTTTCATTCTTATCAAATTGATTAAAATGCATTTCAAATACTTGTAATTAACTGCTAACAAAAACCAATGACAATCAGCCCAAATCATCAATCATTTTGAGAGATGGACAGATTCAGTGCACGAAGAACTAGCCTAGAAGAAGTTTAGGGAGTCGTAGGTGAACTTACAGGGGTAGTGGAAGAAGATGCACTGGTTGGTCATTTAAAGTATGGACGGCTTTGAATGTCAGGGCAGACATGCTTGCTCTTTGTTTGTTTATTAAGCACTAGAAGGCCACCTAGGGTGCCCAGGTAGCACAGTGGCTAGATGCCTGGGTGCTCATCAAAAGCTGAGTGGTTGAACTGCACCAGCAGCTCTTCAGAAAGAGGTGGAAAGCGGCTACCTTAAAGCTTACAGCCTTGGACCACCTATGAGGCAGTTCCACCCTGTCGTGGGGGCTCACTGTGGGTTGAATCAATGCCACGGCCATGGGTTTGGTTTTTATAGTTTAGCAGGTCACTTGCAGAGATGTCACCAGGCAGTAAAACAGGATGAGGTAGAAATTAGACATATAATTATTTCTCTTGAAATACTATTGAAAGTAAGAGAGTTTATAATGGAAATTACAGAAGGTCGTGGCTGACAAAACCTCAGAATTCTCTTGCACGAGAGTTAGTTAAAAACAGTGTTGCTTCTAGGGTTCTATTTCATACACACACTGATTTCTTCCAAACAGAACACTTTCAACGTGCCTCTGTGACGGTGCTCTAGTGCTGAATAAGTTGCTCCTTTGCCAGAAATTGCGGTGTCACACATTGGCCTGGTAACCATGAAGTTATTAGCCATTCAAAACCACCAGCAGCTCTGCGGTAGAAAGACTGGGCTTCCTACTCCCATAAACAGTTCCAGTTTGAGAAAACAACAGGGGGTTGCTATGAGTCAGCATTGGCTCGATTGCAGAGTTTGGCTTTTTGGAGATTTTTTTTTAGGGTGTCTTACCAAAAAAAAAACCTGATCAAAACCGTGGCCTCCCAGGGGATCTGCTCGGCCAGGTAAATCTGAAATAGAGAGGTTTGAAGGTTGTGGTGCTTTTTTGCTGGAATTCTAACAGGATGATCTTGATAGATTTTCTGGAAGTACACAGGCCAATAAGGGGGACACAGTGGAAAGAAGTTTTAAGAAAACTGAAACCTGCATTGGTAAGAAAAAAGCCAGGCAAGTTGTGGGAAGGAGTTTTTCCCATCACAACAACGCGCCTGTTTCTGAGGGCTGTCCTACCACGGGATCTTGGTGGAGAAGCCCTATCCCATCCACCCTAGTCCTCATCTTGTTCCACAATGGTCTGAGCGACTGGGACCGCAGGATGCCTCCAACTGCCCTGTGTCCTGGCGTAAAGCCCAGGCGCACTGCATCCCTCAGAAGGTAGCGAGATGGAAGTGTGCCTGCTGAAATGCAGAGACCAGGATGCAGGAGATGCCCCAGCAAAAGCTCCGCAGTTGGCTGCTTTTGTTTAATCAGGTCTCTCTGGTTTTACAGCATCACTTTGTGAGCTCTCCTCATGGTGACGAGACAGACAGCTAGGAGGCAGACGGAGAACCTGCTTGACGGTCCAGAGAACAGAGCGTTTCATTACAAAAACGAAGGGAGTCAAGCCAAAAAAAAAAAATGCTTTCAGGACCTGTGACACAGCACCTTTTCCTCAGTGTTTCACCCCACCCATGACGCAACAATGAATGACGAGGAGCAGGGATGCAGGCTAACCTCTGAGATCAGATTCCAGAGCAAGCTGAATAAGCTGGCATCCTTTCCTCGGTGTAACACTGGCTCTTCTCAGCTTTCATTTCAGAGTCTGGAAACCGAAGAAAACGGAGACTGCACGTCTGACTACGTGGCAGTGCACAAGGATGTGGAACGGAAGGAGCAAATCGGTTCGTGGAGCCGTATGGTCCTCTGGTGTGGGCTCAGCCTGGAGACAGAGATCGTCCTCTGCAACATGGGGCAAGAAGAGAGACTCCACCATTTGAACCCATAGTGCGGAAGGCCCACAAAGAACTAGAGACAGGGAAGCTCCGTGTTACTGAAACACACCCTGTGGGCAGAGCAGTTCCTGGGCTTCCCAACGGGAGGGCTGGGCAATTGAAACCAAGAACAAACTGGCCATAACGGGTGGATTCCACAACTCCTGGTAGACCTGCCCCTGTGGGTTTCCAAGACTGTAACTCTTTACAGGAGCAGAAAGCCTGGTGGTGTCAAACTGCTGACCTGTCAGTAGTAAAATGCTGATGGGATGAATGCCTATTTGAAAGATACAAACTGCCTTACTGGTTTGAAAATGGATTGTGATGTCCATCAGAAATGTCCCTTACTCAACGATTACCTAAGAGATGATATATTTCTCCTTTTCCTTGCCATGTTGCTTGGCCTGGCACTTGACATCTGACCTGGACTTGGTTTGAGCCAGCTCGCGTGTGTGGCTTTGCCCTCCCTGACCCTGCGCTGAGCTCTTCTGGTGTAATGTTCATCAGCTTCCGCTCAGATGAAAGCGTGACCTTCAGTGGCTTCCGGGCTCGAGTCTCCTTCATTTCTGGAGCAGGTAAGAAGAGAAGGTACAAACGCCTCGGGCCCCGACCTTAACCCTCATAGTGCAGTAGTAGTAACTAGGACTGGATCTTGGGCTATGTTAACTAGAGGGTGGTCTTTAAAAAGGCTTCCATCTTATAGTGGAACAGTGATGGAGGCCTAATAAGAATCTCCTCTTGCAGGGCACTAGCCCAACCAAGGGGAGGGTATTATTTTTATGTCCACAGGGAAAGAGGGACCAGACTTCAACCCGGTGCTCCAAGACTTTAATACAACATACAGGCATGAAACAGGGAACCAATAGCGAGATCTGAGGGGCCAGCCCCAATCCCAACGACATGGACAGCCTCCACCCCCAACCCTCCCCACAGAAGAATTTACTTCAGAGGACAGTACTGAAGCTACAGCTCAGGGAGAGGGACAAGTCTGATCAGAGCACACGGGAGCAAATGAAGGGGAAGGAAGAGAGTGGAATACGTCCTGGCCCACCAAGCCCTGAGGACGATATCCCTGCTCAGAGCAGCCAACGCACAGAGAGGACCATAGGGCCAGCCCCACCACAAGACACAACATCCCACAGTGATCCATAGCACTGCGGGTGACAACCTGGAGACACAGTACGGGAATTGAACCTGATCTGACCCCACCACACTAAGGTGAAACATTAAAGGTGTGCAACAGAACAGCTAGGGGAACAGAGCAACGAAGTCCCCAGGGAATATAAAAAGTAGACTCTGGGACCAGGGTGTAGCACCCCATCCGATTTGACCAGAAAACACTCCTAAAGGACAACAAACAGACCCTAAACTATTTACAGACATTTTTGTGTGCGTGTCGTTGGTTTTTATTGTTGTTGTTTTATTTTCTTTTTGTTGCTTTCTTTTGCTCTGTCTTGGTTTTTGTGCATTTTATTATCTCTGCAGATCTGTCTAGATAAGATAGGCAGGATAAACAATCTGGAGGAGAAAACAACAGGACTGACTGTTCCTTGGGGGTCATGAGAGAGGAGGCAGGGGAAAGGTGTTAACAAACCCAGAGACAAAGGAACAACAAGTGATCCAAAATCGATGGTGAGGAGGGTGTATGTAGGAGGCCTGGGAGGGCTTGATCAAGGGCAATGTAACTGAGAGGCATTAATGAAACCCAAATGAAGGTTGAGCATGATAGTGGGACAAAAGAAAAGCAAAAGGAAATAGAGGAAAGAACTGGGAGGCAAAGGCATTTATAGAGGTCTAAATACAGGCATGTACATATGTAAATATATTTATATATGATG